GACAGAAGATGACCGGCTCAATAAGGTCATTGATGAGCTAAATGGGAAAAACATTGAAGATGTAATCGCCCAGGGGATCAGCAAGCTTGCCAGTGTGCCGGCTGGGAGCGCTGTGGCTGTCTCTGCTGCTCCTGGTTCTGCAGCTCCTGCTGCTGGATCTGCCCCAGCTGCAGCAGAGAAGAAAGAAGAGAAGAAGGAAGAGTCGGAGGAGTCTGATGATGACATGGGATTTGGCCTGTTTGATTAAATTCCTTCTGTTCTGCAAATAAAGCCTTTGTATGTGTCTTAAAAAAAAATTATAATTTCAAATGGCTGGATTAAAAAAACAATCGTAGTATAGATTTAAAATATTTTAAAGTGAATGATAATGAATATGCCACAGGTCAGATCTTGTAATAGCCAAAATGGGATTTAGGAGGAAATCAGTAGCCTTATTTGCTTATAAAAGAAAACAATGAGGGCTGGGGAGATGGCTCAGTGAAATAAGCGCTTCCCTGGCAAGCACAAGGACCTGAGTTCAATCCCCGGTTCCACCAAAAACAAAGAAACAAATAAGAAAATGATGAAAATTAATGAGTAAAGAAACAATAGAATAGATTTTTAAAAATAGAAGAAATTAGATAAGAGCAGAAACCAATTAAATAGAAAACAAAGCTAAAACAGGATCAATAAATATAGAAATTGGTTCTTTGTAAAGGGTTTTAAAGTGGGTAAGTCTAGCAAAATTAAGTATAAAGAAGCCAGATACATATAAACATACTAGAAATAAAGACACAGCTATAAGTCTTACAGAGATTAAAAATAATGACTGATAAATTTTATGAAAATAATTTGCTATATAAACAAAAGTGGACTATGTTAGTCAACTTTCTGTTCACTATGACAAAATACCCAAGGTAATTAATTTAAAGAAGGGAAGATTTATTAGCTTCATGTTTAGGAGTTTCAGTCTGTGGTCCCTTGGCCTTGTTACTTTTTTGTTTTTTTTAATTTTAATTTTTTTAATAGATTGCAAATTGAAAATAAATTATTTACAAACATAAATGAAAATAACAATAAAAATTGTCCAAAATAAAAATAAAGAATTTACAGATCAGTCATAATAGTTCACTATGTCAAAACCAAGAAACTTACATTCATATAACTAGAATTCTCAAAGTAGAAAGTAGGCAATAAATATTTAAAGATTTAAAATTTCTGAATTTAGTTCAACTTATTATACCGCAATTACAAGAAAAATGAACCTTTTGCACAAGAAATTTAAATAAAATCATACCAAGATACACAAAAATGAAATTGTCCAAAACTTATTGTAAAGAAAGAAATCATTAAAGCATATACATAAGAAATATTAGCTATGGAAGAACAAAATTAAATAGCATCTTATTCCACATTAGAAAGATAAAAAAGGACCAAGTGTATAAGAAACTAGACTAATTACAGGTCTGAAAGAAAAGATCTCTCCTCTTTGAATTTTATACTTAGCAAACATACCTTTGAAAACTGAAAGTAAGATTTTCTAGTTATACAAACTTGAAATATTTTAATACTTCCAGAAGTAGCATATAGGAAGTAACAAAGTGCATAATTCAAAAGGCAAGAGAAGTTGTGATATGCTCCTGGATGAACAATAAAGAGCTCTCAATATGATAGCTATGCAGGACTATATAAAATATATTAGATGAAATCCATTCTATATTTGCAGTAGGTAAGTAGATCTATCTAGTGGAAGGCTCTTGAGAGATTTCTTCCTGAAGAACAGGAACTCTATCTAGGGAATGTATAGGAGTGTACAGCCATGAATAGTTTTATTTTATTGACAGTTTTACTTGGTGAAAATTGAAAAGATAACTAAGGAAGGAGGTAACCTTGTTCCAATCATTTCTCTCGTATCGTGTTTCTGCAATCAGATGAATTTGTATTGTGGTGTAGATACTGTTACATCCTAAATTTTGGTATATGTATTATTTTTTAATAGGCCATGGATTCAAGCCAGTTATTGTCACAGCGCCAGCAAGTGCAAAGGTGGCAGATGGAGACTTTGTCACGCTGTCCTGCAATGCCACTGGAGTGCCAGTCCCGGTCATTCGCTGGTATGGCAGCCGCGGGTTGATAACCAGTCATCCATCTCAAGTCCTTAGGTCCAAATCCCGGAAGTCACACTTCCTAAGACCTGGGGGCCTTGACCTGGAGCCTGTTTACTTCGTCATGTCTCGAGCTGGCTCAAGCTCCCTCTCCATCCCGGCTGTCTCTCAGGAACATGCCGGGAGATACATCTGTGAAGCAACCAACGATCAGGGCACCGTGCAGGCAGAAGCATTTCTCACAGTGGGTGAGTTCCCTTTATATTTTGTTTCAAGTGAGTGATGTCTTTTGGTAGTAGAAGAACAGATGGTTTGAAATGTGTCATTTTAATGAGTAGAGTATTCTCTAAATGTATATATTTTGCCTAAAGACAGTGAAATATAAAGCTGAATTTTGGCTGTACATGAGTCAGATGAACCTTGATCTCCTTTGTGATGTGTGCAAGTATGTTAAATTTGTGCTTATGAAATAGAAAATTCTTTTCTTTGGGAGTAAGTTCAAAATATAACCAGTTTTTTGGGGTAACACTTTTGGCTTTCTGAGCTACTGTTACAGTTTGTGTCTGGATGTCTCCCCAAAGCCTCATGTGGTCATGTGGGCAGGCTTTTTGGAGGTGGCTGAATCTAGACTTGGTGATTGATTAATGGTCTAATGCTGAGATGAAAGGTGTGAATGTTACACCCACCTTAGGTAGGTTAACCTGCATACAATATTAGGGACAAAAAGAGGCTTGCTCCCCATCCTCTCTAGCTGCTTTTGCTGTCTTCTGCCTGTCCACCACTCCACCCTGCCCTGGAGCTACAAACTGTGTTAAATAAACCTTTCCTCCCTTGATTTGGGATGTTGGGTATTTTATCTCAGTAGTGAAAAAAGAAACCAAGACAGCTACTTAAAATTTTATTTGAGGCATTTTTTTTTTTTTAGATCAACCATTGATAACTACAGTATTCTAAGTCTAAAGGGCTAGCCTTCATTGAGAATGTAAACTCATGGTCTTATCAAGTAATACCTGTATGTGTAGTGAGTGCTGATTTGTCAACATTCAAGTTATGAGCTGTCATAGGTGTCTTGTGTAAGAGTCACAGGTATACTGTATGACTCACTGTATTGGGTTACAAACAAATCCAAATCCTGCCTAACAACGTTTCCCATAGCAGACCTTGCTTGTAAGTCAGGAGCTTGATGTATTGGTTTCCCCTATCTTGCCCAAAGTTATTTTTCTAATGAGATGTATGCTATTTCTAGTTTATATTCTATTTTTCATGATGATGACTTAAAAACTATATAATTTTAAAGTACTTCCATATACAATATACATTAATATTATTTAAAATTAACTTAAAGTTGACTTAGTTAAAATTCAAACCTTTCATCAGTAGGCATTTACAGTAGTATTTCCCAGCACCTGCTCAGTTGGGTAGAGATTGTTGCTGTTTGCCTTGTGAGAGGCAGAATATCCAGTACTGCCTTTCATAGTGGGCACCTTGAACTCCCTGCCACGCCTCTGGTTTAAAGAGGGCTCTTTGTGCCCCTTTCTGCCTGGATTCTCTAGCCCACAGGTTAGAGAGCCCATGGGATCCAGGTCTGTGCCTAATCTGTAATCCATGTTCTTCTGCATAACTGGGCTGTGGCTTTAGACCTCCATGCTGGGTGTCATGGGCTGGTTCCCCTCAGGCCTTCATGCAAGTCAGTTCTCCAAGTGTGAACTGTGCTGCCAGTGTGTGGGCACGCGTAGGCCGGAGGATGGGTTGCTGGCTACACAGCATGTCTGTAACTGACTTTGCATAGGGATCTGAGCCGCACTGAATTCCAGCATGCTGGTCCTCATTTTCTTTTATTTTCTTTTTATTTTTTTTCAAAATTTTATTGATAAACAGATAGCAATGAGACAGTTCCAAACCAAATCGGAAGTACAGATTCAACAAATAACACACTGCATATATTCTTCTCAGTGGTTAATTGCTGTACAAGATGTGGACTTGAGATCCTATTTATAAACACCATCAGAACAAATCATGCTATTCATTAAGAGAATGCAACTATATATCTATCCTAACTACTTTGAATACACAGATACAAAATGGACATTCATCCGTATACCCCATTTTTTCTAAGTTCCGTTATTGAATATTATAGGTGTGTAAACTCAGCAAAATATTCAAAAAGAGTCCAGCAGCCCATAATAGCACTGGGTCTTCCATTCAACTGGCAATGTCAGAAATTATCGACCTGAGTCCCCCACAGCTCAACACAACAGCATGACTCTACTTCCTATATTTTGTCTTCATACTTTTCTACTGGATGGTTAAGACCAAGGTAAAGCAGGACCTGTACAACAAGAGTTATAGCCTTTTGGTCTGAGAAGGTCAGTGAAATCCCCCCAGGATCCATCCTGAGATCCTGCACCTCAGACTGTAGAACCTTTGTCAGTGCAGCCATGTGGATGAGTCACGGCCATTGCTTGGCCGGTGTGCTCTCTGTGAAAGCCTGAGAGAGGGTTTTCTCCCCATGTGACTCTCCTTAGGCACA